GTCCCAAGTATAAATCCAAGGCAACAGCTGAATCAAAGCCCGAGGCCAGTTTCGGTCACCCTTTGAGGGCAGGAAACCAACTACGAATACCAATCCAGTTGAGCTCCTCTGTGCGATCAGTCTTTTCTCTATCATGCTCGTAACTCCTTACGCCTCACCACATGCATACATTGTACATGTTGCTTGGAAGTTTGTAGGCACCACCAGCTAGAACACGATGTTAGAACTCCTGCCTCATCCTCCAGCCGAGCTTCCCACTTGGACGCACATCTCATGATGGCTCCAAGGGCGAGCGTGCCACTCAAGGTTAACGTAATCAACACACATTTCAGCGTAGTAAGCTTCCGGTTTTGTTGTGGTGTCTCTTTTTTTGTTCAGTTATTTGCGCATGCAGTACACCATGCCCCTCCAGCATGCCCGGCCAAGTAGCTCCACCTGTGCAATGGTATCTCCACCCAGGTACTGGCGCCGGCTGCAGGCCAAGCGTGCGCTGCGCTCGGCAGTGATTACCAGCGCGGAATCCTTCGGCGTGTCCATCGCCAAGCGCTTTTTGCCCTCTGTGGCCGTAGACGCTTACCGTTTCCGCGGCATGAGCAGTTCCTCGGAGGGGTCAACGGTCAATGGAAACAGCTCTGTTTTCCGATGGGTTCACGATTGTTACATATATATATATATATATCAGAATCATAAGTACTGCTATACGGGGACCCGGAGGCAGGGTCACAGAGAGGTCCACCCGACAGTCCTGCATAGTCTATAATAGCAAGCTAACTGTACACAGGCGGGAACTCTAATTGCAGGACATCATTGGGACCATTCTGCATTGTGGCACAACATGCGCCACCCCTAGCAGCGCATGCTGTGCGGCTAACCTTTGCACCTGTCCACCCTGTGCGCTTGTCCACGCATCCAAGCTCAGGAAAGCAGGTGCCGGTGTCAATCCAGTTTCAAGAATTAGGCCGGGCTTGGTTGTTTGGGCGACTGGGACGTCCGAGAGGCACGTTTCAAGGTCTAGGACTCGGTCAGGGATGACTCGCTCAGAGATTCAGAGATTCTTTAGGGGGGTGATTTGTTGCAAGGATCTGGGGTGGGCCCTTGAGGCACAGTCCGCACAGTCCCAAAAAAGCAACACCTATTTTGTTCAACTAGGACTTCAGGGAGTGGATCGATGAGAGGTTTTCACACACCGACTCTCAACCCCATGGAGTCCAGGTTCAACGACGAGTGCTCATTGAACCTCCTTGAGCAAACTCTTCCTTGGGATTGAGGATGTGTTTTTCCACCCAAACTTAAACGTCAGCAATTCCCCAGGTTGCAGAGCTCATCACACTTCCAATGCAGACGGTTGAGCTGAGCAAACATCAGCCTCCAGTTGGATCTGAACAAGCTCTTCCGAACATGCGAGGCATTTGACAGTGCATTTGACTTCAACGGTCTGCATGAGTCCCAGTTGTGCGCTACATGCGTTGGGTTCCCCACCTGGACTGAACCGAGAAGTCGAGGTCTACTCCTGGCCGATGGCCGCTCAGTCCTGGACGGTGTCAGTGGGAGCTTCCTTCCTGGCCGCCACTGGGCAAGAGGGAGTGATCCAAAGACGTTCTCCAATGATATGAAGATGATTAAGTGTTACTGAAACTAATGTCAAACTCCGCCCTAAACCTTCAATTTCCACCTGTCAGCGCTGTCAGGTTTCGTTCTTTAAATAGCTGTCAGCTGGGAAACCCACCTGTCAGGTGGAGGGTCTTTAGAATTGATGTGAGTGAGGGTCATTTCTTATTCTTCGGAGTGGTTCTTTTTTCTTCCTCTTCTTTGTCAGGTGAGCCATTCATTGAACATTCTTTAGACAGTGACATGTTCACACTGCACTTGTTTAGGGTGGACATCGTGGCAGCTGAGAAACGAACAATGCCAGAAGCACTCTTGCTTGATCATGATTCATGTACATCCATGTCCATCCAAGCTGAACATGTCATGGATCTATTTACATTCCTCTAGACAAGCCCTTACTCCAGATACATTTATGGTACATTCATTGAGCTTGTTTAGACCCCGCGGTGGGGACCGGAACGTCAGCGGACTCGACTCGTTGGGGTCAGGAGCTTTTAAACGTTGGTCCATGTCTTAAGGTCCATGAGAAAAGGATCCGAAAGCATCCAGATGATCATCCAGTAGGATTAAACTTGGAAAGGATCCATCACCTGGGGATGAATCGGGATTCCCTCCAACATGTTACTGGATCATACAAGCGGAACATGAGCAGAAGAGTTTTAGCACCTTCATCCCGACTTCTTCTCCAGGACCTGCACGAAACATCAAAAAAGTCAATACTTTCCATGCCTTCGGCTCTGTTCAAAACTCGAGGGCTCAATAAGTCATGGACCTGCCTAGCTGCCCAGACCCATGCGAGTTCCGGAGAGGGGGTCAATGTGTTTGTCTCGCAGGAATGGTGGCCATCATGGGCCCCTCTGGCGCTGGCAAGACCACCTTTATGAACGTGCTTTGTGGGAAGGTGCTGTGTGCCAGAGCTTTCCGGTGCGACAGACCTGGGTTGTGATGGACTTCCCAGGAGAATCTCATGGAGAATGGCAAGGCTTTGCAGTGCCCCTTGCAAAACTTTGGTTCGGGAAAGTCATACATGGGTTTGAGTGAAGAGGATTTGCCCAACCAATGGGTTACGAGTTGTGATTGCAAAAGTTATGATGTGTCATGATCATTGACTGTAGCTTTGCCCTAGGGCCCCTCATGGTGAGACAAACCCATTCTTGTGCGCGTGTGTTAATATGTATATGTTAGAGCATCTGAGCATCTATGCATATGATCAACCACTATATTGAACTAAGTTGAAATTAACAGCAGCCCTCCTGAAGGTGCCTTTGCTGCATCACATGATTTTGTTTTTCATGCTGTTTATACTGCACCCTATGCCATGGTCCATTCTGGCCCTGTAGGCCTGTAGGGCATCTTGTCAAAATTGCAGAGGCTATGCAACGCCTCAAAATTCCTGCGATTGCAAGAAAAGCCACGCAACACAAGCGCTTTGACCTGGAGACGATCCCGTTGAACCCCACTGGAAATGAAGCAGTTTCGGGCCGCGCATCATTGTGCAGGCAACCTATGGTGAGATGACTGGGCAAGTGACCTTCAATGATGGCGACTGGGTTTGTTTAAAGAAGTGACGTTTTTTGTGATAGAGTCGGGCCTGTTGATGAGATTTAGATGGATTTGGGTTAGTTTGAGCTGATTGTCGGATTCGAGGTCAGCTCGACCTGCCGACCATGAAGCAGGGCATGGGCTTTGTCCCACAGGACGATATCGTCCATGAGCAGCTCACCGTTCGAGACTCGGTGGAAGGGGAGGGAGCTGATCGGAGTCCATGCCAGATCAGATGATCATAGAGATTCGTTAGAGTCTGCAGGGAGTTAGTTCAGTGAATGCCAACCACCCCGAGGTCGCAGGGAGTTAATTCATGTTCTTCCACTCATCTAAGCTAAGAGGATTGTACCCTCGCCTGCGCTGCTCAAAACCGAGGAGAAAACATTTTCTTTTCGGCGAAGCTGAGAAACCCATATGATGCGCCGGACGCCTTGTTGGAGGAGGTCGTGGAAGATGTTCTCAATGCCACCTGGCCATCTGGGGAACGAAAGTGTGAACCTTGTTTGATGGATCCCAGCGGCCGGAGGAAGTAGTCTTGATGCCATGGTTGGCCAACATATGTTAAATCATATCATATATCCTCTAATCGCCTCTAATGGTATTTTTTGATATTAATTGATCATCTTTTTGAATCCAGGGCGTGGCTTTCTTTCAGCCATTTGGATGCCCCTGACAACACTGGTGATGATCAACCATTGCCTTTCGATCTGGACCTGGTGCATTGACCAGCCCCTTGGAGCCAGACACCAGTTCTCGACGGGCACCGAGGTGATGCAGATGACTCACATTCAGGGTAGTGTGGTGGGTGGAGTAGAGGAGTGGTGCTGCGATTCTTTGCTGTGCTTTAACAGTTCCACATGGCCGTGGGAAGAAGAGATCTCATGGCGTGAAGGGGGTGTTTGCCGGTGTTTGCTTTTCATCCATGGCTTAGGCATCAGACAGACCAGCACCATGCACAGTGCCACGCCAGCCCTGTGGTCGAAGGGACTAGCCAAAACACTGTGTCCTGGGTTGGGCCGCCAGGAGCGGGGCATCAGTGGCGGCCAACGGAAGCGTGTGAACATTGGCCTGGAGTTGGCCGCCCGCCCGACGGTGCTCTATTTGGATGAGCAGCTCGGTCCAGTTGAAGTTCGTCGATCCGACTTCTTCGAGTTTCGACTCGTCCCAACACTCCCCGAAGTCATCAATGGTGGACAACCACCCTTTTGAAGAAGTCCACGTCCATGACAATTTCACGGAGTGTATCTTGCCAGCTGAGGAAAACTACTTTATAGCCATTCAATACCTGTAAGTAAGCAAACGCACACACATACACAATTATATAGTTGTGTTGAGCTTGGGCAGGCTGGGGTGCAGAAACATCATCATAACTCCCATGTCATGTTTTGGCTCAAGAGCCAAAAGAGTTTCTACTTTGAATGGGATTTGTTTGTTTAAGACATACCCAACTGCGCATCATTGAATCTGGGCTTGGCTCAAAGGACATAGGTTGTCAAAAGAAATGACCAATCCTTACTGCCTCAAATGCATTTTCTGATGGAGGGTGACTGGACTCCTTGAAACTAACGCAGCTTCTTGATTGATAGAACCCCCATATGATCAGAGCTTGAACGATGCAAATGGGGTTGCTTTGTGTAGCTTGAGTCTAACTTCCAAGGCTTGGCCGCCCCCAAAGGCCCGGCCTTCGCCCAGCTTCAAGGCTTCGCAGGCCACACCGGCGAATTTCGCCTCCCGAGGCCCACTTCTGGACTGGACAGCACGTCCTCCTTGCAGGTCATCAACTCCTTAAGCTCTCTGACCGCCTGACCGACCTGATTCGACCGGGGAGCTGACCAGCGTAAGGAGGTTTGGGGCAGATCAGCAGGGTTTGGGGCTTTTTCGATGCGCTGTGTGGCAACAGGTCTAAGGTGGATGGAAGGTTGGGGCATCCTGGTCATTACAGGTCGCCCTACAAATCCAACTTTCGAGTCACTTCTGCTGGTTTGGGTGATCGAACCATGGGTTTGGATGGTTTTGGTACGTGTGCAGTATGAAGTGTGAGTGCTTGGGTAACCTGTGGTGATGGAGAAATCCACTGTCCAGAATCCCAGGCCAAGACCTGCAGTAGCTTGAACTGGTTAGGCCAGGAAAAGTGGTTTGTTGGCAAACCGGGGTGATGTTCACTGGGACTGGATGCCAGAATTGGGGAATTGGCTTCACAAGATGGTCTTCACATGTTTCTAACACGGTATTCGTATCATTCGGTTCGGTCACCTAAACTGTTAAGAGTGTGGGGGGGTTACATGACAAGACTGCCGCTTGCGAACCGCTGCCGCCCACTGAATCGGACCGAATGCTGAGGCAAAATGGCTCGCTTGGACATGACCATTGCAATGGCCCCTTGGTCCAGTGAGCCTTACGCCTTACGCTTGTGCAACGAAGTGGTCTGACGAAGTGATAGAGCAAGCCAATCTCAGAACATGTCAGAATCTTACTGGACGTATTTGGCAGTACAGGATCTTCACAGATTGCTTGGATGTAAGACCAGACCGTTTTGGTAAGACCAGACCTACAAGGAAGCGATCAAGGTATTGAAAAAGGGCAAGTTGGCACGGCCCGGTGGTGTATCAGCACTCGTTCTTCTGAGACTCTCACGATGGTTGTGCTCGCTTGTTTTAATCGGTTCCATGCTTTGCAATTGAGGTCATTCATCAGCCGCGGTATCCCCTCTTCAGCTTGTTTGATGATGTTTTACTGCTGGGGCCTGGAGGTCGTACTGTGTCTCGGCTGTGATGCGAGGTCGTTTCATTTTGAAAAGGGGATCTCCCAACATGTTCTCGTGGCCGTTATTTTTTGATGTGTTCCGCTCTTCCGGTTCTGACTTGAGGATGTTTGTGCCACGGACAATTGTTCAGCCTCATTGCCTTCATCAACTCAAACACCGGTCGTGCGTCTTGTGTTCTGTGCAGCCAGCATGGTGTTGTATTGTGGGCTACTACCCAGTTTCAGGGATCACCTTGCATATCACATCTGAACAAATCACCAAGTTCATACAAGTTCTAATTTTCCACTTGCTCTATCACGTTCCGCTACAGATATAGTGTATTTGCACAATTTCCTGTTGCACAAGTTCTCCTCTTCCTTTCCAAGCTCGAAGTAGGTACATAGACATGCTGATGGCTTTGTTGCGTTGGTCTTCTACGTTCCCGGTGGCCATATGAATAATAGACTCTTGACATTTACTTGCTAATTTGTATATCGTCCCGCTTGCCGCTTGCGACTGGCCAGCGGCCTGAGTCTGGACTGAGGTCTACCTGGGGCCATCGCAGGGGGCAAAAGGTTACTTCACCTCCCTAGGATTCGAGATGCCCGACTCGGAGCATCTCAGCTTCTAAAATGGCCCCGGCCGGCAGCAAAAACAAGGTCTGTCAGGTCTGTAGAGTATCATGCAGCTGCAGGCTTGTTGGGGTGCAAAGACCAGCAAAGACTCCGAAGTGTCAAACGATTTGTGCTATAGAAGTGGGATGCCCATCCGTGACATTTTGAGACTCAACTGGATAGAAGCTTGCAAAGCTTCCAGTGAAAGGGAAGGACCTTCCGGGCTGCTGCTCGTTGGATCATGTCCTGCCAGGGCCAGCTGCAGCTGATGTTGGGCTTGACTAAAACCAACGGAGTGGAAACCAGGATGAGGGCGCAAAGGGGTGGGGTGAATCAGTGAAGACTGGAGTTAACACGCGTCAGAAGTATGTAATTGTCACCGAGCCGCATGCCCACTCACCCACTCGCGAAAAACCACTTAGTGGAATGCCAAGGAACAGTGGCAGCAGCAATCCCCTTTCGTCAGGATTTTATTGATACCGTTGGCGCCAATTGGGTTAACAACCTCCTGAGAGGGGAGTCTCTTCAAAACTCTAACCACACAGTTTTCCGATTCCAGGTGACCTCAACCCTCGCACAGGAGTGCCTTCCTCCAGTTGTTATCTCAACTTCTCAGGAACCCAGCAGATTGGCTCATGGATGTCTTGTCTGGAGTGGTGCCCAATGACCAGCTTTCAGACTTCCGCCCGGTGCATTGGCTTGGGACAGTCCGAAGCCTCCACCCCGGTGCATTGCACTGGGATGATGGGGCCTTCCATGGCCTTCAAGGGCGCTTTTTTAATCGCAAAAAAAGCTTGTGCAAGCTAGGAGTGAGATGCCTCGGCCTGCTAAGAAGTAGGTGTCACTTAGCAGATTTAGCCTGACACACCTTTCCTGTCAGTGAGTTGAGGGAAGAAGGAAAGCATGTTTGCTTTGACTCCATCCATCCACTTTGTGCATCCAATCCTTCTTTTTAGCTACCTGCGGCCAGCCACCTGGGCCTACTCATTTGCATACTTGGACAGGTGAATCGGATGCGAACAAACTTCTATTGTCGATCAATCAAACATTTGGACCCAGCAGTTCAACGAGAAGCTACTAGGGGTTCCTGGCATCGCTACTAGGAGCAAGGACGCTACTAGGGGATCCTGGCCTTACTGCTAGTAACAAGAAGCTACTAGAAACAAGAATTAGAATTAGAATCATAGTTCTCAGGCGCCCATCACCTTTGCTCTGCCGGACGCACGCATATATACAGATATATGTGCATCGAAGCAGTAGATAGCATGTTGGCACAGACGGGGCACGTGTTTGAAGAATTCCTTGAGAGGTGTTGAACCCAAAAATAAGTGAGGCTACCACCCAGTTTCAGTCCCAAGAAGACTGCTGATCCCTTTGCTGTTGTTGGGTGCTGGCGCGACCGGAGCCGGCCTTCGGAACGGTTTTGGTGCTGGCGACTGCCGTGGATCCTGATGACCGGACCGGAGCATTGAGGCTATGCTCTTTGACATTTGGAAGTCCAAGAAGGACTCCATCAACAGGAGCCGCACTGCAATGCACACACTGCAAGCCTTGATCTCAAAAGTTGAAACCAGCCAAGGGCAAGGAAAGGCATCGCATACTTAATGAGCAGATGGAGTAGAGTGAAAGTCCGGGTGGTTGTGTTGTTACATTGTTTGTATGCAGCTTAGAGCATGACCGAGTATATCATATCACAAAGACCTCGCATGGGGTTGACCGAATGACCTTGCAGGGATCAAGTCCGAAGAAGCCTCACGGCTTTGGAAGATTCGGGCGTGTTGGTGAATGCCATTGAGGACGGTTCTATGGGGAAGGAAACTGAGGCAGCTGTTTGCAGAAAGACATGTCTGCAGAATGGTGGAGTCCCTAGACCCATTAGGCAACAAGCGCATCATAGCGCATCATTTACTGTAGGTGAGCTATGTCAAAAGCCCTGAAGATCCCAAGTAAACAGTTGCACGCTTGGTGCGCTGCGCACAGGATTCATCCAGCAAATCACTGCCAGCACTGCTTAGCTGCCACATCGTATGGGGAACTTCGACCCTGATTAGAAAGCAAAACCTCTTCAAACATTCATGGAAGTGGAACCCCCTGTTTGGTATTCGGAAAGTAGGAATCCAGGGGGGGCATGCCATCCACTTCCATTTTCGATGTTTATTTTCAGGGAGTGTACGACGACAGCATTGCTGGCGAACAAGTGTGATGTGAGATCATCAGGTCTTGTGCTTGCCGCAACAGCCTCAACATGGAGAATAGGCTCACTTATGAATTGGCAGATTTTGTGCACTGTTATCGAATGGTCAATGGTCAATGGTGGATCTTACAGTACCACTTCAAAAGCTTACGTATTCAAGACCGTAAGCTCTTCAACACATCCTCTAGAATCTTCCACCATCCATTTCATGACTCGCCGTCAATCCACTGTCCACATCGGTTCTGGGCGGGAGGGCATAAGGTGAGCCTGTACTTACTCAGAGACCATGGAATGCATACCACACAGATGGGTTTGTGCACGTATCCTGTTCAAAGGAATATTGCACTCATTTTGGACCCCAAACCTTCGCAGTAGCAACTCTTTTACAGTTCACATGCCGCTTTCCGCAGGAAGAGTGGGCCAAGATCGACAAAGACTCCTCGGGCAGTATGGATGCCAAAGAGTTGTCGCCATTTGGCCGAAGGGACTTGCCCATGGCCCAGACTGACCTTAACCATGCGGGTTCTCAGTGGCAGCAGGAGAGCAAGTTTGCCCCTATGTATAGGGGAAACGTCGTGAAATGGATGGACAAAAGAAACATGCTTCTTCCAGTCAGGGTCACCATCCGCACGAGATTGGGTTACGCCCTCATGATGCCAAAGTGAGTACTGTAATTAGTACGGATGAAAGAATGTTGCTTTTAAGTTGGCGACCCGCCACAGGTGAGAGGCTTCAAATAATTGAAACTTCAGGCCAGAGGTTGGAGGTCAAGTTGTCAAGTGGGTTGCCCACCTTTACTGATGATGTTCATGTAATGTACCGGGTTTTTCCTGTCCATCTCCTTCTCTGCTTTGTGCTTTTCACACCTGGCTTCAAATGTCAGAGCCAATCAGTCCAAAGCCAGCACATGTGATGTACAGGAGCGCATGCGTTTCGCAGATGTGATTCCCAGGTGCCCTTTGGAGGCACGAGATGGCCTCCCAAAAGGATCCAAAAGGTAGACATTGCAGCTGCCCCCTGTTCGGTTGGCGTTTTGGCATGTGCACCGGAACAGCCCGGCTCCCCACTGTCAATGACAATCAGTATCAATGAGCCAACCACGTAGAACCAGACAGTTTGCACATGTTTGATCATGCTTCTGATTCTACATGTAAGTATATAGTGAATGTAATTAGTGTATGTGCTGTGTTTGTTTTGTGGAAAGGAGTTCAGTACTCGGACCCTTGCATCCAGCCAATGAGCGTCACAGGACGTCGACCCAAATCCCTCTGTCACATCCCATTCCCAGCCTCTTTGGACGAAGCTCGGATCGTCCAACAATGAAATCCCATTCCCAGCCAAGCAACCTACCCGCTCTTGACCACCCCCAAAAGAAAAGGAACACCAACGATTTGCGCCGCCGTGTGCCACCTCGCCACATCCAACGTATCGCTGATCACCGAGAGAGCAGCTCGTTGAGGCTCCTCTTGCAGACCTGCGGCGAGAAACAGCCGCACCCAGAGGCCGTGTCCGAGATGCTTCGGCAGATCTCGGGAGGCGAGTCGGCTCATATAGGGCTGTGGCGGCGCGTTGGGTTTTGGTTCGAGAACAGGGTGGGGTGGGGTCAGGGTACTGTACCAGATCTGTTATGAGTTGTTCTCATGTTTGTGTTTAGGCTGTTAAGGCATATGCAATTATACAATATTATGTAAGCGGAGGGTATTGAATTTGGATTGAAAGTTCAAGTGGGCTTTCGGCATTTTTCTAGCCCCGAGACAGACTGAAGGAGAGTTGGGCAATGGCATTTTGGGTCCCTTATGAGTTCTTGCGAGTTTTTGAGTCCGGACACGGGATTGCCCTCTTGTGTTGGTAACTCATCCGCAAAACGTTTGATCAACGCTAGACAGGAAAGCATTCTTCAGAAGTCTTCTGTCCGCCTCAGGCATTTTGGACTCAGTTATGTGAGGCGGAGGGCAAGTTGCCTCGGCGAATCCTGGGTTAAACTCAAGTTAGCATTTCACAAAGTGTCCATGATGTTTCTCCCATCAGGTCAGGCATTTCCACAGGAGGGCATTTCTCATTCTCAAACCGAACCATTTTGTGCCAGGCAAAGACTTCGCCACCAAGCAGGACATGGTGACCTTTGTCCATCGCCTCCGTACCTCCGACCCAACCAGCGCCGGTGGCGGCGGCGGCACGGGCATGGCGGCGCCGGCGGCGGTGGAGGAAACGCAGCGGCTCCTGACGCGGCAGCCAGGGGAGGCACCTACAGAGGCGAGGTGGAGAAGATCAAGAACTGCTTGTTTCACTTCTTGCGGCTTGGGCATTGCCGGGTAGCCGCAGCCTACGAAGACCAATGAAGATCTACAACCAGGACATATATTATTATTCCCGGCTGCATGCGATGATCACATGATAGGTAAAACAATTGGGCTTGGCCCTCCACGCTTCACTCACAGTGATCATGCCCGCTAGGCCAGGTCCGGCTAGGTTTCTCGTGACTTGGTGTTGCAGGGCAGACCCTTGCCACGCTTCACTTTGCCCCGGCCGGGCTTTTGCCAACAATGTGGCATCGTTCTGCAGCGGCGCTTTGCAATGTTCATGCGGGAAACCTGGTGGGGGCGCCCAGAAGATCATGTGAACAGCACCCCCCGTGCAAAAGTCGTTGGTGATGAGACTCCATAGTCATCAAAATCACAGTCGAGCTCCCCCCGGCTGCACCACACAAGTATCTCCCCCCAAAACTTCGACCTGCGCCCCAGGCGTCGCATGGTGGACCTGGGCTTGGTCTTCCTTTGCTCCTCGGGCATCGGCGTGATGCACCGAGGCGGCAACGGCGCCAACTCTTTGGACCTGCCAGGCCGCCGGTGGCGAACCGGGGAGCTAAAGAGTCTGAAGGATGACATCGTTTGACACTTCCAATGTTCAATAATTAGGAATTCGATTTGTATATATATATATGTGTGTGTGTGTGTGTACCGATGTATGTATAATATGTACATGTATATGCAGGCCATTGACTTTTACGTGCCATAAGGTGTTTGACCTACTCCTGGAGGCATGGGGAGTAAAGCAATCAGCAAAGGATGCAGTGGCCAGGAGTATATCAGGTTTGGTCGTTGCAGTTCATTTTTCCAATTGCTGCCAGTGAATGGCGGCTGAGAGTCCGGAATTCTTTCACGTACACGGTGGCAAGAATAGCAGTGAACCATTTCTGACCCCCACAATGAAACAAGAATATGCGATGTATACTATAGACAAATCTCTCTCTCTTTTTGGCTATACACGTATAATCATGATTATAGTATTATTAGTTGGTCCGCCGTCTCAGCTCATGAGAGCCCACCGGTCCAACAGGCAGGCAACCGGCAGGCTGTCCAGCCCTGCCTGTCCAGCCTGTCCGCTCCGTCGGAACGAACGACCGGACGACCGCCCTCAGGGGCGGTCATCCATTCGCTGTCCGACGGGTCATGTGCCGTTCAACCTCACACTCAAGAGTTTGGAGGTCGATGTTCCATGTCCTTGGTGTCATGGGCTCCATGATGTTCGAGAGAAGTCCTGATTTGAGGCAACCTGCACATGTTCTTCATCGGCCTGGCCCTGCTTTCAGCGGTGTCCTCCCTCAAAGTCTTCGGGGAGAACCGGCCCATGTTCTGGCGTGAGAGTGCCAACGGCATCAGCGTAGGCGCTTTCTTCACAGCACGTGCCTTAGGAGACTTGGGCGGAAAAAGATGGCAGGGAGAATCTATGACGAGACAAGTTATTCCCATTTCGTTTCAGTGTAGGTGAAGTTTGATGGATGTAGATGGACGTAGTAAGGTTAGCAGAGAAAGTAGGGGAATTGCTACTTCAACTTTATGCCAGCACCTACCCTATAGGTGTCCAGCAACTGGCTGCCGCATCCGGTGCTGGGTGGGGCAGGGCACTGAACGCAGGATGTGCCGGTCCCACCAATCGCCCTCGCCGGTACCTCCTGACTTCGGATCAGAGAACTCATCGGAACATCCGATGGTCACCCGCGTCCGACCGCGATGCCCTGTGTTCCGTTCGTAGCTTCCTGTGACTGCCAGGAGCTACTAGTAGCGTCCTTGCTCCTAGTAGCAGGTTGGTAGACATTTCGTGTTTGTGGATCCTTGCTTTGGAAGGGCGGGAGGTTGACCTTGGTTCCTTGGTGCGAGGGGCGCCCAGGGTGTCAGAGCGTGGGAAAGATGAAGAATCCGTTGGATGTCAATGATTGGCAGGGGTCAAACATGGTAAGGTAACATGGTGAAACCGAGTGAAGCCCAAACCTGACCAGTGATATGTGGTGAATGTGCTGTCATGTGCTGTCCATGATGTTTGCTTTTTGAGAACGGCGGGAGACCTCACGGCCGCCAAGGAAACGTCTTTGACGTGCTCTTGCTTGGTAGCACCTATGTCTTGAAGCTTGCCAGCACTTGATCCAAACTTTGAAGGTCGCAGCACCCAACCAAGCAGCTTGGAACAAGCACCCATCCTCTGAGGAGAGAAGCAGAGGAGGAAATCAAACCAAGAACGCCTTGTTCCCAGTCTAACTACCTGCTCGACCTTGGTTCACCCCAAGTCTCAGATGGATTCAACTTTCATAGCCAAGGGGCAGCCAAGGGGGATGTGGATCAAAACATATCCAAATCAAGCCATCTCAAAACCGTGGCAAATGAACACCCGCACCGACTGGCTATTTTCTCCAATGCTGGGTGGGTGGCTTGCTTTATTAGGTTTGTGATTTGCTGCTACTGGCAGTCGGTACTCAGGTACAAGTTGACAGACCTGACTCCCCCGAAGATTAAGATGGAACGTGGAACAAGAGGTTTTGTAGATAAAGCAGTCTTGCATTACAAGGGTGGTTATACAATGTTATACACATTCTCCTTCCAGTTCCATGTTAACCTTCCACGGAGCAACCACCAGCTTCTGAGGATCTACTTTATCTTGACCAGGCCAACACACCGACCAGTGTTTTGTTCGGGGTCGTGAGGGTGTAGCATGGGCATGGCGGAATGGTGGCCGTTCTGTTGTTGGATGTGCACTAGGACCTTCGGTATTCCGATATATTCCGATGTTTTCCTCAGGGAGAGCTTGGTAGGAGGAAACATCGGGAGCTGAGAGCAAACATACGCTAGACTCATTCAGTGGAACGCAGCCTCCTTGGAAGGATCTTGGATGAGCGATTGGCCTGCATATTCCAGGGTCATGCTCAGCCTCCCAGACTGGGGCAAGCATTAGAATCCCCGGACCCTGTCTAATTTTTTTGCACATGACCCAAATGGTGCTTCTACTGAGTTCAGGGAATGCATTATAGAGATCTATGCAGTTTTAGCAGACTTGCATGCTCGAGAGGCCTCCAGTGCCCTACATGGACTACTTCATTCCTGGCCTTTTAGTGGCTTTTGCAGCTGCGAGCTGGGGATATTTGAGCCTTGGCCGAACTATATGTTTGCCAATGGCCGTGGCATAAATCGGGCAAGTCTAGTGAGACAAGATACCCTGCAAGTGTTTGACGGCATGGGTTGAAAAAGGACGAGCTTTTGGAACGACTTGATTGTTTAGCTGCGGACTTTGACATCAAGGGGATTTGCAAAAGACCTGGGGTCCTGTTGCCCCTACAGCAAGCAGCACCACACTTCACATTTCCTGCCGTGAAGCACGTCGCAAATCACCTTCCCTTTCGGTTCGCCGGACGCAGATCTGATGGCGGGCTGCGCCAGGATCTCTGCAGTGATTCAGCCACACAATGCCACGACGGCCACGGTGATGTTCGTCCTGGTGGGTTGCGGAATCCTGGGCAACCCCTATCGGATGCTTGGCCAGTTCATGGGATCGGTCGGGGAAAGGTCTGAGCAGACAAGAAGAACATGGGGAAGGCGGGGGCGAAGCATGAAGAGGCTTTGTGAGAGCAGGCAACAAGTTCATGGGTAGAGGATGCCTACTCGGAAGGGAGTATCCAGATGTATCCAGTATCCATTTTTAAAATAGACCCTACTAGCAAGGTTCACTTTTTGTGTCCGGGAGGTTCAGGAGTTCAATGAACCCTGGTGTAGCAAATCGTTTGCTCACGGATCGGGCTGGTGCAAGCCACTGAGAATCAGATGGGGTCAGGGTGGCTGAATCCCAGCTTTGCTTTGCTCTTCACTCTTCACGGAATTCTGACATGTTGGCTGGGGCGTAGGGGCTCATGCACTCGCCTGCTAGCTGCTTGCTAGAGGCACTTGCTTTACTAGGGGCAGTTGGACTAGATATCACGGATCCAGGCGCCTTGCTTTGTTCTTGGCACTAAGGACGACTGATTTGATGGATGGAGGGGCCAAAGAGATTCTGCAGCTTGTAATACGGGACCTCACCAGACCTCACTGGTCTCACCACGCCCTCGTGAGACCGTTATACTCGAACACATTCTAATTTCCACCATCAGCTAGAATATAGTATATAGCATGCTTGCTATAGATACAAGTTGAGGAAGAATGCGAATCTAGGTTCCAACATGTGGCTGCTTGAAGCAGCCGTTGCAGCTGCAACTGGCACATCCAGTATCTATTGAGTTGCTCTCAGGTGAGGTGAATGTCGCAGTATGAAGAGAACAAGGCATGACATACCCTGAACCATCATGTGGGATGTGCCTCCTGATGTCTCCTCGTGATCTCAGGGTTGATGTGGATGTTTGTTCTTTTGTGCATGTGATTTGTATAGTGTTCGTTCTAAATGGGAGGCTGAGGCAAAGCAATCATTCACCATGACTTCTCGGTGCCTTCCGCGGTACTGCCAGTGACGGTGCCAGTTGGCTTCGTTGGTTTGGCACCTGAGGCGCAAGTGTGCACTCCAAGTAGTCCAGGGAACCCCCTGAAATGGAGCTCTCCAGGGCTTTACCCATTGGGCCAATTCGGCTAAGGCTCTCTCTGTCCTTGAATCGCTGGGCCTTGCCTATGTGCTTGTCCGCCACCATTGAGTCCGCCCAAAGCGAGTCGTTGTGTATCGATGTGAATGTCCTCTTGGCGCACCAGGCGGGAGAGAATGAAGCTGCAGAGTTGAACCTCATTGAGCCTCCTTGATTTCAAGGTCCCTGAGCTTGTTTTGGCCTCGGGTCGAGAAGAGAAGCTGGAAAACCTTCAGACTTGTTGGCGACTCCTTGTGAGTGAAAACGGCACGGCGAGTTCCGACCCTTCACCTTCCAGAAAGCGCGAAGCTCTTGACACCTGCCACCCGGCACCTGCCACCCGGATCCCGGCGCCAGGTTTACCACAATGAGATGTCACACGGGAAGTACACTTTGTGGAACCAGGGGGTCTTGGCTTTGTCCTGCACCACCCTGGTGGTCACGCTCCTGGCCTTCCTAGGGCTGAAATTCACCAACCGCAGCAAGCAGGTGTGAAGCACACCATCCCGAGGCTTGCAACCGCTGGCAGAGTGAAAAGACTGGAATCATCTCGAATCACTGGGCGGCCGGAGCTTAGTCACAGAGTCAAAGCACCTGTTCTCAAGCCGAGTAGTCGGTGCCTTGCAGCATGCTCACAAAGGTGGACTCATAGATGGCCCACGCTTCTCTTTGAGGCATTTGTTGGTACCCCTTTTGGATTCAATTGTGGTTTCTGCAGATGACAAGCGCAGTGACACTTGCCCAACTGGTTGCATTTCATCATTGTCAGCCTTTTTAGTTGCATGACTGATCCACATTGACATAGGCACAGGCGTAGGCATACAAGATATGGCAAGCAAATATATGTTTAGTTCTCCGCCTTGAAGGAAAGAGGGCAGGAGTACGTCACACATGTCGCACCATTTTGGTAGATCCACCTCCCACATCTCTCGAGCATTTCGCTGGCCAGGATCCACCCGCTTGTAGCCAGCTGCCGCACATGGGACGGTGGGACTCCCAGAGTCCGGTCGAGAGCACCAGACGTCCTCGCCCCAGAAACGAGCAAGGACATGCTTGAGCTATGCACCAAGAGCAGTCAATTTGATCCCAAACCTCCCCATCCCACCAGGCCCCGTCCCACCAAACGCTCAACTCTGGCCATGTGTCACATGATTTCCCCAAGCAGTTTCCGCGTAAAAGGATCTTGACGGTCATATTTTTGGGAGACTATAGCTTGGGCACAGCCCATTGACAGCTGGAATTGAAATGCTATGGGTACGGACCATATGGTTGCATTCCATTGTTTCAGGGTCGAATCTTGCTGAGGGCTCATGAACCACAAGAAGAATGAACAAATAGTCCATGCGGGACTCCATTTGTGATTATTTAGGTCCACCGTAAACATGTCTTTGCCGGTCCAAACCTGCGCGAATGTTGTTTCCCAAGCAGAAACAAGGAACTGAGTGGCCTCAGTGTGTGAAATTAATTAATCGGCCCACCTGTGAATCCAATTTGTTGAAGCTTGTTGAAATATTTCACAATTTCACAAGGACCTTCAAAGTGCCCAGTTGAGATCGCAGGATGAGGTCACTTAGGCCGGTAAAGGGCCACTTGGAGACTCCAAAGAGATCACTTTGAAGGTCCTGGCGGCTTTGTTTTAGATGTTCCAGAAGCCAGAAGACCCAGGCTTTTATGCTGCTCCCACCATCTCAGCCAGGGCCCCCAAGGCTCACCTCAAACGTAGTTCTGTTGTTATCCCAGGTGGTTGACCCCTCAGACGCTAGGAAAGGGACTCCGGCCAATTGGAAGACCAACGGAATCATACTTTGCTAGCTTCAAACCCTATGGTGACACCAAACGCCAGACAATGTCAGTAAGTCGAGTAAGTAGGTTTTTTATGGTTTATTCAAGTTTCCTTCTACCATGAATGCCCCTTTGAGGGCATTCCTCCTTCGTTATTGCAACGGAGGACCCTGCTTCTGTTTGAATCAACTGATGTTTGGGTTTGGCGACCCGCTCTCTCTCTCTATATATATATGGACTGCGCTCAAAAAGCCATATTCAAAAAATATAGATAAACGTAAACTTTTAAGGTTAGAGATGTGTTTTAAAGTGATCGTTTAGAAGCGGGCCCCCAGCAGACTATGGTGATACAGCAAGGCAGCGCTAGATTGGCGCTAGATTTCTTCATAACAGGATGAGCAAGCAGGAAAAGAAACAAGCAGAGAGCAGGAAAAAGAAGAAGCAAGACAAGAAAAATAACAACAAAGCAGAAGAATAATAATAAGAATAATAATGCACAACAAGAACAAGAAGACAAGCAAGCAGGAAAAGTAAGAATCTGACAGGATCAAGAAATCAACGGATATTTTTGCGCTAGGCTGGCGCTAGATTCGCGCTAGCACCGCGCTAGACGACGGTCCATTTCTTGACCAATTGCCCATCCAACATCGAAATCTTTTGAGTCAGCTTTTGCATCCTTCCTATGTTGTCGTCCTGAAGATTTCTGAGAACAAAAATGGGAAAGTCCAGCAGCAGCAGCAGTAGCAGCAACAACAGCTCCAGCAGCTCAACAGGCCCCTGAAAAAGTCCGCGCTAGACACCTCTCACAGTTTTTGCAGTTGACATGCCTTCATGCTTAACATCCCTGTGGTTTGAGTGTGGTTGGAGTTTAGAGGAGATTTAGAAGCGGGCCCCCATGGAATTGCGATGAGTGCACCATTTTGGGAAAATACATTTTGGAAACCAACCATGCACATATACAAACATACACTGTATATAGCTCGACTACTGTTACTTATATATCATAGAGTTCATTTTTGGCGCGCACATATATAAATATATATGTTTCATGTATGCCCTGTAAATATACACACGCAAGTACATATGTATACAAAAGAGAATTGAAGCCTTCTTCAAGGGCCACACCCACCGGACGCAATCCCTGTCAAACGATTCCCGTGGAAGGAGGAGCTCGACTCTTTCTCTTTTGGAACTGCTCAAGCCTTGGGGATGGACATGTGTGTGCCAACCGGCAGTGACATGCCCAAACCGGTTGATCCTTCCTGCCGGCGAGGTTCCCTGGTGAGACGCCAGAGGAGAGCCAAAGGCCTTCTGAGTCCGCGGGAGGGAGCAGACTGGCCGAGGACAATTGCCAGGTCATAATGTTTTCTCGGAAAGCGAGCAGAACAGGAATCGGAACATATCGGAACATGCCCGATTTGGCCTTGTGCAGGCATGGCATTCCACGCCGCAAAAGCAAAATCACGTAACATCAGTTTGTGACTAATTGACTGAGATCTCATGATAGCTGCCTCGCAACGAAAGTGGTGATACTGAGACCCACGAACGTTGTCACTCAAAGTCGCATGGTTTTTTCGTGGTCAACCGAGGCTTTTTGCCACAAGTGGTTTGCATGGTTGATTGAGCCTCAGATGGTTTTCTCCCTTGGGCAGGGCGTGGCCCATGAACTACACCCCCACGCAGCTTCAGCTGAGCTCTCAGATTCGGTAAAGAAGATTTGTGGGATGAGCGGGAGGTCTGCAAAGACCGGCAAAATTGTTTTGGGGCTTTCTGACGTCGCGCAGAAAGATCACTCCACTTTAAGATGTTTAAGGTATTTAAAGGTAGTGTTTAAGGTAGAGCTGGGGAGCATGATTCTTACCTTCGGTGCTGCGCGTTGGCCACCAACATCAGCTTCTACTGGTTACAGTCGGCATCCAGTTGCCAACAAAATATAAGGAGGTCAAACACCGGTCCGATGTCCCGGCACCAAAGCGAGTAGCCTGATCCGCAAAGTGTGAAACCATGCACTGCAACACCACAAAGGGTGAGGCCTGACGTCGCTGATGGCAGAGGTAGATCCAAGTCAGGCTGAAAACGGATGTATATTTGGAAGGACCTGGGGCCGGGATAGTTCGGAAGCCTCAGGTACGCCTCGGCTGTGACCAAAATCTAATCTTGATGATGCATGCCCACGGTACAACCCGACTACGGCCAATGAGTGCAAACATCGTGCCAAGCAAAATGTGCGAGGTGCTGGCCGCAAAACGCCAACCAGCAGCCGGCCTTTTGCAAGCCTGCTACTGAGTTGGGTGACACACTGGGCTGCCAAGGGTTTGATCCCTCACGCGGGTTAGCTGGTTCCAGTCCAGCGGAGTCCAGCGGGTCCGGCATCGAACCCTTTTGGATCCTGGGCAACGCTGCTCGACAAATGTCCAAATTTGACTGATAGAAGGCCAGGCAGTTTGAAGATACAAGATCCCCATTCATCAGTCAAATGGTGAAATGCATGGTCGATTATGAGATTTTATAGCCACACAGCCCGAGAAGCTCAAAGTGCGTTACTGAGCATTACTATGGCCAAGCCCAGCCAGCACGGCTGCACATTCTCCTCTTCAGTGTAGTCTCATCTCATGTAGCCTCAAGGTGCCTGAAGCAGATATGTCCTCTATGCCCGTCATTTCCCTCAACCCAGTCAGTGGATGACCTTTAACCAGTCCTTGAACCTTTTTGGGGGATGGGTTGCTCACTCAACAAGAACTGGCGAAGCTGGCATGTACCCTCTATTTTCCAGGGAACCGGCTTGCCTTCGCTTCAACCTCCCCAGACCCACCCCAGACCTTTTCGTCGTGCTGCGGGTGTTTCGAACCACTCGCGGTGTGAGGCTCTACTCGCCGGTGCTGCTGCAGAATTTCACCGATGCGGGGCCGGGAGCTGAGGGGCGGAACGAAAGTGGTGCATGGGCCGAAGAATATGACCATGTTCCGAACACCAAAGTCCGGTGGTCCGTGCTCCTCCACTTCCATGGAAGGTTTTCCTCGAAGTTGTAGGGTCAAGTTGCTGAGTTAGATGTGCCTCTGAAGGAGCCCTGGTCAGGTAGCAGGAGACGTCACCAAGCGCCTTGGTGGTCAGGTGACTCAACCCCTGTGTTTTCTTTCGGGGAAAGCACCTCCAGCGCTGCTGAACTTGGATTCCTGCTCCGGCGAACCATTCGGAATTCAACCAACCAATATAATCAACTATGCGACTATACGACTTAGGAACTAGGTCCACATTGTAGGGCCGCTCCGCTAGATTGAGCGCTTTGAGGTGAGGTGCTTGCTTGGCTCAGGAACCTCCAGAAAAAGCATCCAGCTAGCTGTGTCAATCACCACCTGCCAAAACCAATGCAAACACTCCATTTCAGTAGGCCCCCCAGATTTAGGATGACTTGCTCATTTTCATGCAACTTGCTCTTCCAAAAGGCATTCATTCCATCCGAAAAACGCGCCGGGACCGCGCACTTGTGAAGCACCAGCAGGGTTGGACCCCTGCCTCGGTGGTTCGCTGGTGAAACGCTTGATGATGGGCACCGATCCCAGAGGAAGCCACGCCTCTCAGGCGATGTGCTGACCTGCAGCGGGTGACACTGCCCGAGGAAGAGTGCGGATCCCGACCAGACCGCCAGGTGTGGTAGGTTTGGTGGTGTGAGATGGCACTCAGAGAAATGGCGCAATGGGGATGGTTTATAGGGCCCAGGCAAGGAAGAAGTTCATGCGTAGATCCTAAACTTTGATTGTCACTTGAGGGACGGGTTTGAGCTGCTATGGATCCTTTGGAGAGTTGGAAGCTCTCGAGAGTTGTGCGGCCAACGGCCTAAGTGTGTGTGGTTTTGGGATGTCGTGGGGTCATCACAGCAAGAGTGGCCGTTCTGAAAAGATCCGAATCCCCCAGAAGAAGTTGGGTGCGCGTTTCATAATTTGCTTGCTCTAAGACTTTAATTTAAGGCATCAGGATCAAAAAGAAAACAGAACATGATCAAAAATAAAAATATCAATATTACTGTAAAAAAATCCGACTAGGTCCCCTGGTCCTTGGGTCCCTGGTCCTCTGGTCCTTGGGTCCCCTGGTCCTCTGGTCCTTTGGTCCCCTGGTCCTCTGGTCCTTTGGTCCTCTGGTCCGCTGGTCCCCTGGTCCTTCGGTCTCCTAGTCCGCTGGTCTTTTGCTCTCCTGCTCCGCTGGTCCCCTGCTCCTGCAGTCTCTTTGGGCACCTAGACCAGTCCCTTGGTCTCCTAGTCCGCTGGTCTTATGGTCCTTCAGTCTTGGTAGCACCCCAGTAGAGAGACAGCTTCCCAGTGGGGTGCTAGCTCGCTGGTAGGGTCTTACCCAGTAGGGGGGTAGCGCTGTCTATACTTGATTTGAATTGCGGGGAATTCGCTCTACTATCTTCTTTGCATTGAAATTGACAGTGCCACAAAGGTGGATGATAAGGCCCACCTTTGCTTAGCCGTGGCTTCGCCCTCCCCCGCACCCCCTCCCACTTTTTTTTTATAGTGCCACTGCCCCTACTATTGCCAGTGCCTCTATCACCCTGACCACCCCACTATGAGTCTTACCACAGTTACCACAGCTATAATCTTCTTTGCATTGACACTGCCACAAAGGTGGGTGATAAGGCCCACCTCCGCTTAGCCGTGACAACGCCGCAAAGGAGGATGATAAGGCCCACCTTTGCTTAGCTGTGCCAGCGCCACAAAGGTGAATGAAAGTGCAGGCTCAGCTCTGACAACCCCACAAAGTTGGATGTCAAGACCTTTACCTTGCGCTGCGACGCCCATTTTACCAATCAAAAAACGAAGCAGCCCAGCGCTGTCTATACTTGCTTTGCACTGCGGGGGGGCGCTGTCCGTACAACTACTACCTTCTTTGCGCTGACGCTGCCACAAAGGTGGGTGATAAGGCCCACCTTCGTCTTCGCCTAGCGTGACAGCCAGAAACCTTCGCTTAATAGGAAGCGCTGTGCCCTGCCCCAACGATTTCCACCACCACTACTACTACTACTACTACTACTACTACTACTATACTACGACGACGACTACTACGACGACGACGAATACGACGACGACGACGACTACTACTACTTCTACTTCTGCTGCTACTACTACTACTACTAGTTACTACTACTATTTTGCAGCAGCTACTACTACTACTACTACTACTACTACTAGTACTAGTACTAGTACTACTACTACTACTTCTACTACTACTACTTCTACTTCTACTTCTACTGCTACTACTACTACTACTACTACTACTACTACTGTCCTTTCCCCATTCTCTTTTTCTTCGCCGTGAACATGTTTTTTTGATGCTGACTTTTTAATTAGTTGATCCCTCACCCTTAATTTAAACTCACAGTCCTCAAAGTGGGAGGCATGTGAGCTCATGTGCTGGCATTTGCGAAGGCAAGCAGAATGCTCAGGTCCTGTGGGCAAAACTGCGCAGGCAACCTCTTGTGTAGGGGCCTTGGAAGATTTCACTGATACACTCGGAAGTTCCAAGAGTGCAACGGCTGCTCCACAACAGTGACAGCAGATACAGAGATCAAGGGTAGTCATAGAATAGCACATATATATATAATCGCCCCTCCTAACTAAATGGTTAATGGGGGGGGGGTACGTGGTGGCTAGCCATTTTCCATTAGCCATTTGTTTTTAAAGATTCATAAAATTTCATAAATATTTATATATATTTATATATATATGTGTATTTATGTTGTTTTTGCATACAGATATATACAGATCAACTGACAAGTATCACCGGTGAAGTCGTAATGAATTTAATGACCATACCATCCCACTTTCATTGCTAGTGGTTGGATGTGTTGATAGATGTTGACTTATGTTGATATAAACTTATCACACATGACCTTTGAACACACATGTATGTTCATGTATTTTCTAACAGGTTCAATATGGTTCAATATTGTTCAGCCTGGTCCGCGCACCACAGCCAATTGCTTTGCTTCCAGCAACGTCCACTCCATAGTCTTTTGTCATCGGTGAAGCCGGTCACTGCCCCAGCAGATCTTCTATGATGATTGGTGGGGCATGATGGTACGTGCTTTTTCATGAAGATGTTGAAGGTGAAGGTGTTTGAAGGTTATTGAACCTTGAGTGAAGATGAGGCAGGCAGGTGCAAGTAGGTGTTGGCCATTGAAGCTAGCAGCTAGAGTTGGCAATATGTAGCAGTATCTTGCAGTGCACTAACCTGACTGAATTGCAGCAATTTTGTTGTCTCAAGTGATGCTGAGATTTGCTGATATGTATGTCAGCTTACTTCAACACACTTTAACTTGAGCTTCATAACAACTATGCAGAACTACTTGTAACTAGATATAGTTTTGCATCTTTGCACCAGCTTGTATCAGAATATATTAGGATACCTTAGCATACCATATCTATCAACGAATGTCACCAAATTTATCCAAACAACATCAAGTTTCAATATATGTGGTTTGATGTGACTTGATGTGACTTGTAAATTTGCATGATTTGCACCATGTACGTTGTGCTTGACTTGGATGTGCCGGGGGGGTGTTTAATGGCTAGCCAATTTCAACGGGGGGGTTGCCGATTCAGCAAATCAGCAGATTGGCAGATTACATGTGGAAAGTATGGATTCATGCCGGCTGCACATCCGGAATTTCCTTGGCGCTCAATAAAGACACATGGGTGGAATATGCTGAGCGGGTGCAATATGGTGCAGGCAGAAAAGTTTTTGTGCTTTTGTTGAATGGTTTCTTGTGCTCATGCATTTTCACACGTCTTCGCTGGCTACTTTAAGCTT